CTCGGCACAGTTTGCATTTCCACTGCAGTTCAGTACCGCTTTAGAGTGGGAAGGATTATTCACTTGTCTATAGTTGCGCCGCCTCTACTACCACGACTCCTAAAAAAATTTTTTTCATTCCGCGTCGCCCCATCAAGCTCTCACTGGATCTGCTCCTCTGCTATCAACGAGAGGAACGTCTGTTCTTCCGCAACAGACAACAAAACTTTTTGGTTGTTAAAAAAGGTGCGCTTGTTCAAAACAGTTGCGTTCGATCCTTCGCTGGCTGTGCTGATTTAAATCTAGCGGTTCTTTTGTGTTTGTGTCGCAAGTTCAGTGACGCAGGTACTGACGATTCTCTCCGGCCAATCCGTGATCAGCAGAGTTTACACGTCACGTTTTGGTAACGGTACGGTTCACTTGGAACCCCAACCGAGGTGGTACTAAAAAAAGTACCAGGTACTGTACCCAGTGGAAACCCCCCCCCCAAAAGTGAACCATACCATGCCGTACCATTCAGTGGAAAAGCGCCATTAGTCTCATCAGACCACAGGACATGGTTCCAGTAATTCATGCTCTTGGGCAGGTTGTCTTCAGCAAACTGTTTGCGGGCTTTCTTGTGAGCCAGCTTTAGAAGAGGCTTCCTTCTGGGACGACGGCCATGCAAACTGACTTGTTGCAGTGTGCGGCATATGGTTTGAGCACTGACAAGCTGACCTCCCGCTTCTGCAACCTCTAAAGCAATGCTGGCAGCACTCATGTGTCTGTTTTTTGAAGCCAGCTTCTGTACCTGACGCACAGCCCGAAGACTCAACTTCTTTGATCGACCGTTGCGAGGCCTGTTCCAAGTGGAACTCATCTTAGAAAACCTCTGTATGACCCTGGCCACTGTACTGCAACTCAGTTTAAGGGTGTTACAGATCTTCTAATAGCCTAGGCCATCTTTGTGGAGAGCAACAATTCTAATTCTCAAATCCTCAGAGAATTCTTTGCCATGTTGAACGTCCAGTGGTCAGTATGAGAGAATTGTACTCAAAGCACCAAATTTCAGCTGCTCTAATACAAGATACACAAATTTGTATGGTCCTGTCTAGTGTTGCAAAACGAGACGAGACGCAACGTAAATGCTGGTCATGTGACGATGACTATAATTAAATGTATAATGCAATATTGTTGACGAATAAAAACGAGACTAAATGTGGTTTACAAAATAAAAACTATGCTAAAATGTCCCTTCATTGTCGTTGACCAAAACGAGACGAAACTAAATGTTATAACATTATTTCTTCTCGTTTAGTCGCATTATTATTATTTTGCAGTATTTCTGTTTCCTGTGTCTCACTTCAGGGGCTGCATCAGGTCGCACTGCGCAGACGCTTTGCTGCTGCTTTTTGTATTTGCATGTGTTTTCTGAAGTTGCAGCACGTTGAGCTCTCTCGGCCACCGTACATAGGTGCATAGTGATTCTTTACAAAGTGATGTCAGCATCTACTGGCCTGGAAACATAATGCAGTGTTTTTAGCCATTTTCTTGGATCTGTGTGAACGGGGACAATTTTGACAATGTTTTCATATGTACACACATATTTTATCCTTTTATTTTCCAAATGTCCCAATTGATTTTCATCTTTTAAATTATTTCATTTTAGGCCTGATGAAAGTAAAAGAAGAAAGACAAGATCTGAATGAAGTGGAGGAGAAACATCAGGATCAGAAAGATCATGATGTCAATGGAGAAAAACCAGTGAGTTGCAGCATTCAAATAACAGACGTCAAAAAGCTTTTCAGCTGCTCTCAGTGTGGAAACACTTTCAAACATAAAGGAAGCCTTATGAAACACATGAGAATCCATAATGGGGAAAAACCTTTCAGCTGTTTTCAGTGTGGAAACACTTTCACGTGTAACGAAAACCTTAAGAATCACATGTTAATTCATGCTGGAATAAAGCCTTTTGCCTGCTCTCAGTGTGGAAAGAGTTTTACACAGAAAGGACACCTTAAGAATCATTTGGCAACTCACACTTTAGAAAAGCCTTTCATCTGCTCTCAGTGTGGAAACACTTTCACACGGAAAACAAACCTTAAGAATCACATGTTAATTCATGCTGGAGTAAAGCCTTTTACCTGCTTTCAGTGTGGAAAGAGTTTTACACAGAAAGGACAACTTAAGGATCATTTTGTAACTCACACTTCAGAAAATACTTTCAGCTGCTCTCAGTGTGGAAACACTTTCAAACATAAAGGAAGCCTTATGAAACACATGAGAATCCATAATGGGGAAAAGCCTTTCAGCTGTTTTCAGTGTGGAAACACTTTCACGTGTAATGAAAACCTTAAGAATCACATGTTAATTCATGCTGGAATAAAGCCTTTTACCTGCTCTCAGTGTGGAAAGAGTTTTACACAGAAAGGACACCTTAAGAATCATTTGGTAACTCACACTTCAGAAAAGCCTTTCAGCTGCTCTCAGTGTGGAAAGTCTTTCACACGTAAAGGATACCTTGAGATTCACATGTTAAGTCATGCTGGGTAAAAGCCTTTCAGCTGCTGTCAATATGGAAATAGTTTCACCTGTAAACAAGGATTTAATCATCACATGAGAATTCACATTAAGGCTGCATTCCACTCTACTTTTAGACACACTCGTGAACTTCCCTGAGCATTTCCCCTCCCTCAGGGGTATCCCAGCTGCCATTTTGAAGTGCGTTCCACTTCGTGAAGTGAACGAGGTAAGTTTATATGGACAGTCCCTCAACCCCTCGATTTTGACCGAGGGAGCGAATCTGCTTCATATGCACACTTAAGGCCACTCCATAGACCACAATGCAACACAATTGTGACGTCATCGCAGATCTTGTTTAATTTATCCCCCGATTCCCCACCCCAAACAACTCTACAATATATATATATATATATATTTTTTGTCATGCTGGGTAAAAGCCTTTCAGCTGCTGTCAATATGGAAAGAGTTTCACCTGTAAACAAGGATTTAATCATCACATGAGAATTCACATTAAGGCTGCATTCCACTCTACTTTTAGACACACTCGTGAACTTCCCTGAGCATTTCCCCTCCCTCAGGGGTATCCCAGCTGCCATTTTGAAGTGCGTTCCACTTCGTGAAGTGAACGAGGTAAGTTTATATGGACAGTCCCTCAACCCCTCGATTTTGACCGAGGGAGCGAATCTGCTTCATATGCACACTTAAGGCCACTCCATAGACCACAATGCAACACAGTTGTGACGTCATCGCAGATCTTGTTTAATTTATCCCCCGATTCCCCACCCCAAACAACTCTACAATATATATATATATATATTTTTTACATTTATAGCAGCCCAAGCATACCTATATACATATAGAAAGGGGAAAAATTTAAACAATAAAGCAACTCTATAGCGGATTCTAAGTGATCAAGGGCTTAGTGCGTTCCAGTTCAGCCCATTTCAAGGGTTCCGCCTGTAGTGGGCACTCATGCAACGTAATCAATGATGCACATCCGAGTGAATGAGATGGAGTGAAGTTTGTGAGTGAAGGGCATAAAAAAACGGACTGGAACGCAACCTAAAGACATGCCTTACCATCAGGGGTGTGAAATAACAAATCACAAATACTCACGTTACAGTAATTAAGTAGTTTTTATCAGTAATTGTACTTTTTTGAGTAGTTTAATCGGTACTTTTACTCCGCAATTTCCTCCGTTTGTGGTCGTTACATGCTTATTTTAATTTTATTTTTATCCATCAACGTAAATGGATAGAGAGTAATAGGTCTCGTGACTTTCGTCAAATCAAATTGTGCATAGAAAACTTTAACCGCCAACTGTTTATCATGGCTGCTGGAAGAGCATTCTTCAAGCATCAATTTTGTCGCATCTTCCTCTAACTTAATATGTTAAGGTAAAGTTCAGATTTCTGCTTACTAAATGATTTGTATATATGCTTGCCTATCTACACAGCCTGAAATTTTGCATACAGTGTTAACTCCCGCAAGTGCCACGTTCGGTAAATTCCCCACTCACTTATGAGACGCGCAATCTGCGCTGCCTCTCTCGCGTGCGTTCTGCAGCGGTCACTTGAATAAGTCGTTGCTTGTTGAACTTGTTGACTTTTGATGAGTTTGAGCGCGTGATGCGCTCTGTGAAAAAGTGTGTTGGAAAAACAAATTGAGGACCAAATCTGCACCTTATTGATGACCCGTGGTGTTAATATACTGCAT